CAGCTCCGTTACTTTATTAGCTTGCACCTGCTAGGCAGAATCTCACCAGACTAACTCTAACTCCCAAAGCCTGCAACTAAATACTACGAATTCCTTAGGACAGTCTCATCCTCTTCGCTTTCCCAGGCTCAGGCTGTGGGCTGAGGAAATGCTTCTGTCCTTGAACCTCCTCATCCAAGTCCTCCATCACACAGACCATCACGACTTCTGTGGACAAACACCCTGCAACCGTTCTTTTAGGTCTCCTTCCCAACCACCTTAGTGTTTTTCCTTTTAATTTCCATTTTACGAAGGGGAGATCAGTTGAACCTGAAAGAGATGGACAAACAGTTGAGCTTTAGACATCTGCCAAGTCTATAAGCATATTCTAACTAATGATTAAATCCCTTTCTCTTGGACAGTTTATGGTATCTCTGTTCTTGGGTCCCATTTATGACTCTTACTGTTGGTTGCGGCTGGGTTTTTCCCCAGAATTCCCCAGATTTGATCTTCATCTCATCCCTGCCTGACTAACCACCATTCCCTGTTTCTTCTTCTCCCACCTCTCCCCGCCCCCAACATCCCGCCTCCTACTTTCTAGGTCTGTGGCTCTGATGGAGTGACCTATGGTGACCAGTGTCAGTTGAGGACCATTGCTTGCCGGCAAGGGAAGGTCATAGAGGTGAAGCATTTGGGCCAGTGCCCAGGTGAGTCCCCAGGGTCACACATCTGAACACTAACAGAGTTGCTTAGAACAAACAATTGCATGGGAGAATGACAGCTACCCCAAACTGCCCCTTCTTTTAGAATGGTTGAAAAGTGCAAGGTGAGCCTCTTCCAAACTGATGCTCTTCAGATACAGCTGGACCTTCGTCCTTCATATTCCAGCAGTGTGGTCTTTGGCTTTGGCGGGTTATCAAAGCTAATGAGAAACATGTTTTGGAACCAAGTCTTGAATTCACTGGGTTTGCAGGGGGAGAGGCAAAGGACGATATGGGGAAAGGGGGGTAGATAAAGAAGTGGAACCACCCTGAGGTTCCAAACGGGAGTCCTCTCTCACTTTGAGTCATTCCTATTTCTTTTGCTCAGTAATGCAAGGCTCTGTTTTTCTGGAGACCCAAAAGAGCTATCTGTCCTTTTAGATATCAAGAAAGCACTACAGATAGCAGCAAAGCTACCCCATCTGAAGCCAAAGGGAATCCAGCAAGATTCGCATGAGTTTCACTTGGGTACCAAATGAATTCGTTCACACCTGCATAACCTCCAAAACTAATCCCCTTGGCTG